CACCCTCCTAGGATTACTTATAATTGTACTACTATTCATTGATTCAACAAATAATTGATGTATTGATTATTATTATGTATTCGATTAAATATTTAATGTGAATTTATATAATTTAACGTTACTATGTAGAAAACGTATGTAACGCTATTATGTTAAATTACATTTCATTACGTCAAAAATAATAGAAATAGTTTTAGCTTCGATGCAGAGCAGCGAAGGTATTGGTTTTACTCTGGCGTAGGCTTTTTTTGTGTCTGTATACACTGTAACTTTTCCAATTCCTTCGAGTAGCAACTCTATAAATCACAAATTTTATCTAGTTGTTACTTTGGAGCATAAAAATTGAAAAAATTTCCTTCTTCACAGTTAAAATTTGAAAAAACAAAAAAAAACCATACGAGTTTATAAGTTTAACTTAATTTCTTTACTTGGTTTTAATTTAATTTTTAAGTACAAACACGGTGTACCAGATGTGAGAAACGAATAGACGCTAATAACTGTTGGTAACGTTGACCCGTGTGTGGTGTGAGAGATAAAGTTTAATCGAACCGAAACGGTCGGTATTATAATATTGTGTTTATTACATGCAATCACAGGCGACTGAATCGTGTATCTGATTACAGTAGATACACAGATAAAATCACTTTCGAAAAAACTACTTTCTTACTTTGCTTGATTTGGTCTGTACTGTCTTAAAAATACTAGTTATAGTCAAGCTAATATCTAAGGTGGCTAGTAAACATATCAAAGTTCTGGCTAATATTTTAGTGTTTTCATAATATCTGGCCTTAAACAATTCACAAAGGATTTTGCCCCTTAAACTATTTTGAATTTATTATTTAGTTATAACAGCGTAACGCTTTTTTGGTAACACTTTTTTCAGTTATGTGCCAGAGCTAATACATGAAAATGTCAAAAAATACAGACAAGTTAAAACCGTTATGGTTAGTATTAGCAGCTGAATGTCTACGAGCCACTGTCTTATTTACATATCCTGTCGAGAATTGTTAAGGAGGAATATAAATGGCGTGAAATAATATTAAAAGCTGTACTAAGTACTAACAGAACTATTAAAAGTAGTAATAGAAGTTGCTTATTTGAAAGTGTTATTATCACTTTTACCCGGGTAAGCCAGTACAGTGAGTTCGAGGCATAATGGGATCAAAGCATAGAGGGACGGAGAAGTCACAGGTCTACAGGAATTATTATAAATAAAAGTAATAAAAAATTATATATGTTTTTGGGGTCGCTGATTGCGAATTTTCTAACAGCTTTCAATTTCACTCGGCCAAAAAAAAAAATAAAACCTAAAAATTCTGCTTTTGTACTCAAAACATACTTGAATCACTCTAAAGAGATGCCCATTACTATTATAGTATTACTATTATATTACCATTAGTATTACCTCTACTATTATAATTTGATGATTTTTTTTTTTAATATAACGTGTTTATGTTTAAGTATAGAAAATCTGCGAAAAATATAGTTTTCCAGCAATTAAAAAAAAACTGTCGTCCCAAGTTGGTCCTTCGTTTAATATGTTATGCATACATACGAGTTCTAACATCTGACCCGTTTTCAACTAAAAGGTATTAAATTTACGTCTAAAAAACAAAAAAAACTTGCACGCCCCCTGAGGGAGGGGGTGGAATATATTCCTTATTAACTTCAACTGGAGCCGACCCTTTTTCTCGATGTCATAGCCATTTTAAGTTAAACTTTTAAACTCTTATGGTTTTTTATTTTGTTTTTTCAAATTTTTACTGTGAAGAAGTGAACTTTTTCAACTTGTACCCACTCAAAGTACCAACTAGATGAAATTTGTGATGTATAGAAATGCTTCTCGAAGGAATTGGTCCAGTGTAAAAAAAATTACAGTGTACACACTACACAGACACAAAAAAGCCCACATCATTGTAAAACGAATAGCATCACTGCTACGCATCGAAGCTGAAAGTTATAATGTGAACAACTATGGCCTTTTGGTTTTTATACTTCAAAATATATCACCTTGATGATTTAAAAAAAAAATCAAGTAAGTATGATAATTGAATTAAAACAAATTGAGTATCTGAAAATTTAAGAGCTTGTTGTGAATAGGAAAAACACAAAATGCTACACACTAAGAATGAGAAGATAGCTTGGCTTTAACATTTGATAATAGACAAACAAATAAAAATTTGATACATATATCTTAAACATTGTCTATAAAAATTTGTTTTTATGGATTTTCCTAAACTTTAAAATCAAAAAGTCTACTTGCCAACCTCATCTTGGCAAGCATTTTTTAAAAGACATTTTAACAAATGCTCAATAGACAGCTGAATCTATATTTTATTAAACGTGTACACGACCCACGAATGTGCTTTTGAAATTTAAGTACAACGCATTGAATAATAAAACAAATAAAACACACTTGTTTTTTTAGTATAAACCATTAACATTTGTTTCATACCGTCGTCGTATTATCGCGTAGAGGATTTTTAGACAAAATCAATATTGCAAAACATTTTTATTTTTTTTTAGTTAACTAGATAATAGCACATTTATATGGCCAGATTTATAGAGAAAATTAAGCTATATTTTTTTGGGAACTTATTAATTATCAACCATTTTTTTTTTTTTTTGTATTATTATTAGATACTCTACAGAAGACAAATTGGTAGTTTTTTTTTGTAATAGGTCTTTGTTTTTAAACAAAATTGTTAGAAACAAATTTTATTTGTAGGTAATTTTAATCTCTGATTTTTTTCTATCTTCAAGTAGAATAATTTCAATTATTTGTATTATGATTGACGAATTTCTTAATTTCATATCATAATTATATACATATATTAATTTTCCATATCATACTATTCGTTTAATTTACTTTTTAAGTATGAATATCATTAATATTGTAGTCATGTCATAACTTATTATTTTATATATATATATTTTTTTTTAAATATATACATACATAATAATATGTATATTGATCGGTTAACTCATCGGTAGGTATATTTTTCGTTTACTATATTTCTGACATTATGTTTTTGGACTAAACTCGTAACACGAGTAAAACAAACGTAAGCATTAATTTAATAGTTAAGTGTATTGTAATTTAACAGGTAAATTAATTCAGTACAAATTAATTTTTGTTCGTTTTAAGTAATGACTTATTGGTATTGTTTTGTAGTTTCAGGGTATTTTTCCTCAACATATATCGTGTAAAAAATGTTTGAAAAAGTAAAATAGTTGTCCATAATACTGAATTTGAAAAAAAAAATAAAAAAAATCTGTTTTTGTCAAATAATATATTTTACCAAAAAAAATTGTAAGTTTATTTAGCAGTCGGTATGAAATAAAACCTATAGTTTACATCTGGGTCATCTGGTTAGACTACTAGATCTGAGCCCATTGTTTCTGTAATGTGTAATGTGTATTTATTGGCTATATATTGGTGTGCGATTTTATTTATTATACTCACTGTATTGTTTTAAAAGAATTTACTATTTTTCATGTTGTAAATTGCCAACCGTTTTTTTAAATTTATTAGCTAAGAAAATATTCGCTATAGTTATAATATAACTAATTAAAATACATAACTTGTTGACATGAACTGAGGCATATTACACAATGTTATAAATTCAATACAACAAATATATTTTATTTGAATTTCTGAACATTTTGTATATATTTTTTTATTATTTCAACACTATATAACGCAACTATAAAATACTCATTTATGAATAATACAAAGTATAATATGAAAGAAATTAAAAACTAATACATATTTTAGGTTATGTGTTATTTTTTACGATTATTTAAAATAACATTTTCTTTCCTTAAGATAGGTTGGGATGAGATAAGATCCAAGGCATATTGTTAGAATAACAAGTTTTTTTCATAAGCGTACCAAGTAATAAAAGCTACGAATAATTTCAACAAAAAATAGTTTCATAACAACATGTGTACACGTGTAAGTCGAAACGGCGGCTGCCTACATACAAAATGGTGTTTTGTTTACAATTGAAACACTTATTACAATATGTATACTATATAGTGTGTTTTAAGCAACACGAAATACTTCAAATAAATGACCATTAACTTAAACAATGGTAGCAACTAGCTAACAAGAGTACCAACTAGTTAAAATATCTTTTTCTTTATTTAGATTTTTTTGCTAAAGTCGTCTATTTTGACCGTAGTCAATTTCTAGGTTGCTTTGTGTGACACGATCAACAGTCAACCGATAAATGAAAATATTTTCATTATAAAGTTAATTATGATGGCAATAACTTGCTATAGACGGACGATCAACCCTAATCGTCTTCACCCAAACGACAAAAATAAATGTTGAATAACATTATTGTTATTAGGATAATGTTTTAATCGACACTTGCATTTCCACCATTACAGTTTCGCATCAAAACGTTCGTTTTGAAAGTGATATCACATTCAGTTGTAAAAATTCATATAAAGCCATGACCCTATAATATTTCTATGTACCTCAACCCCTGCTGTACTGGCATTTTTATATTTGCAATTTGCACCACACTTTTATGACATTGCCTTCAAATATTATTTTTTTTAAATCAAAATCACATTAACATTTTAGAATTTTTTTTTTACTGTCGTTTTGAATATTAAAAAAATGACAATACTTGTGTGGATAAGTTTGGTGACTATACAAATTATAGAAGACTTTTCTCACCCCTTGAATAAACATACCCAATTGCATAATAACACAGTGTAGGTATACAATTTTTTTTTTTTTTTGTATACAAATAATATTATAGTATCAAGATTTATGAACACTCATCGTTCGCTAAGTGGTTTTATGACGATTTCTGGTAAATAAAATTATATAGCGGTTTAAGCTAAATAAATAAATAAGCAGAACTTTTGTTGATTACACAGTTTTTACAACTGTACCGTTGTACCGAAAACCACTCGTTAAGTATACGTTATGTAAATAAAATAAAACGAAAAACGGCTACCTACCAACATTTTTCATTTTTACACTTATGTTTTTGTACTTGTTTGTTACTTGTTTTTTAATCAATAGCATCATAGTTACCTCGAGTCGAATAGCATTTCAGTGTTCGTCCGACTTTGGCATCGAAGACTTACTTCTGGTTCAACAAAGTGTTTGAAAACAAAAACAGCCATTATGCATTTAAAATGTGCTGTTATTCTCTTCGCGTTGTACTTCGTGACCGCGACACAGGTAAAACTACATAATAATAAAAATGTCTATAGTTAATACTATTTAATATTATGATTGTACTTATAATACTTTATAGAGCATGGGACTCAATAAAGATCAAGTCAAAAAAATTGTTAAAATATTCAAAACGTTCAGAAACGGTACAGACTTGAGCACTTCAGCACTATGCAGGGAATATAATTTAGTTTTTGAACACAAAAGAGGTAATGAAGTATTTTTTAAACGTTTCGGTTGTAATTAAGCGTAACTCCCCCCCCCCTTACTTATACACAAAAACTGTAAAATAATGCTGTATAACAATTTTTCAATTTAACGCTCTCGTTTTGGCCAGCTCGATTGAAAATTGTTTATGATTTTTGTCTATTTTATTTTTAAATGTAGGTAGGAGTCCCGCTCGAAAAGTACAAGACCTTTTGGTATTTCTGGCCAGTAACGATAAGATTAATGACAACCCGAAGGTAAGACAGATAAAAAAAAAAATTGAACAATTTCAAATTAATCTGATTTTCTTATTTTCCATACACGTTTTTTTACAAAGATTCAAAGTTTATCGTCATACGAAGTAAAAATTTTCGTGGGCTTGTTTAACAAATACGACCAATGGTTCGACCATAGCGGACTACTTGACCACGACGAAGTAAAAAAAGTTGTTAACGCTTTAAATCTAGAAGATGACGTCGAAAAAAATTTAGTAGACGAAATAAAATACATATTTAATGCCTCAATCAGAGATTCAGTTGACTCGATTCTATTAATATCGAGTACCGTATTATTGACTTAACGAAGCTTTTCGAATTATTTTTTTTAGGTTGATAATTTAAATTAATCTTTATAGGTGAAACAATTAACGCCCCGAAATTCTTGGAGGCCTTTTTGGAAGTAAAACCAAAAGTAAGGATATGGTTTCGTTAAGGCACATAACTATGATTTGGCCTGACATGGTGTTTGAACATGTCTAAGAAAAATATGTTTTATAATTTTAGCGTATTGTAGCGTTTAAAAAAAAAGTAACTATTAGTGAACCTAATATCTACATGATTTAAATACTTGTACATAGGGCAAAGGTCTGGACAAAAAACTAATTCTGGAACTCATCAATTTATATAAGGGTCACAAAATAGCTGGCGATTACATTGACCCTGTTGAAATAGCAAAATTCTTCAAAAACTTATCTATAGTTAAACAAGAACACGAAGGCCTTTTGGTTTTTGATTCCATACGTAAGAATACATTTTTGATATTATCATTTACTTATTCTTATTTTTAATGAACAAATTTATCAAGACTAGTTTTTTGATTCGAATTATTCGTTATCAATATTATTTTCAATATGTGATTTATCAATTTTGAAATCAATTTAGATAATTTGTCATCTATAAATAACAAACAAATTACATTTTTATTTATAGAGTTTTAATGTTACTGTTTTCATTTATGATTTTTTATTCATTATTAACGAAATGATTGTAATTTAATTAAAATATTTTCTATGTTTTATTTTTGTTGAAAAAAATGTTTCCCGACTGATTCTATGAATATTTTTTAATTAAAGAAAAATGTAAGTCTTATTTGATTATAGGAACCGCTCCTTTTCAATTGAAAGAGCTGTTGCTTGTTTCAGCAGAATACAACAAAGAGGCCAACGAAGAAGTAATATACATTTTTTTCTTTTACTGTTGTCTTTAATATACTATTTTGAAGACGCACCCATCCGTTTTTTAGAAGTAAAGTTTAGCACATTTAGTCGAAAAATTATAATTTAGAGCTTAAACTATAGTTTACACACATTAATCGAGCAATGATTATTGTTAATTGGTTAGAGGTTTTTCGTTGTCAGCCTATCTCAGTAATTTCTATAGATAAACATCACATTTGTTATCAATTGTAATGTTTTCCTCGAATCAATGCTAGAGTGTCGATGGATTCAACTGATTTTTAATAACTTATTTAAAAAATACCAAAAAAAACCTAAACAATAAAGATGCATAGACAAAATATTATTGGATCTACCAAAATTCTGTCATAGATAATATGCCCATGCTACTTCAAAATATGACGAATGGGTATCGTTCTCTTGTGCAACACATAATCGAAAGAGGTACTTTTTTAATTGTTTAGAATGGACCCGTATATTCAACCGATTCAGTTAGAGATGTTTTATGGAGTTTCTCTAAATATGACGTCAACCAAAACGGTTTAATCGATAAGGAAGAACTAAAAGGAATTGAAGAACGTCACTACCAGGACGAAGACGTTGACTCTATCTTTGAAGACTTCGATATCGATAGTAATATTGCAAATTATAGCGTTAACAAAATGTGGTTAACTTTATTAAGTTACTACCATACGTAGTGGGGAATGAGCATAGAGTAGGTTCAGACCGTTTTTACATGTAAAGATATTTTAACAGTTGGAATTACTAAAATAAATCCCGAGAAACCGCCGTGGTTAATATCTACATAAAACAAAGGTTATTAAATCGAAGATTTTTTCACGATAAACAAAAATATCATACTAAAGATTTTTAAAAGAATAAAAGGCGTATCTTCATTTAAAAAAAACACATTTTTAGTCATTTTCAAGATTTAGACGCGGTGGAAAAGAAGTGATTTCACAATTACACAAAGTTGAAAGATGTTTCAACAATAGTTATGATATTATAGTAATCAAAATGTCGGAGCAGACACCAAATAAAAAACTTAACTTATAAAAATACTATACTAAAAATATTGCAATTTTTAGGAGACCAACATTTGAACATTGCAGAGTACTGTAGGATGGAATTTACGCAGTATGAGCGAATGAACGCTGAAAAGGCAGAGCACGAGTTAATAGATGCTGAAATAGCGGATCGTGAAGATACAACGCTGAAAAGGAGGACAGCAGTGACAGAACCCTGAAAAAAATTAAGTGTTTTTTTCTGAATTAAATAATATAATAATTGTTATGCATTTGAATATATTTTGGGAGTGGTTTAATTATGGGTAATAAGTTTTAAATTTGACGTTTTAAGATTTTTTTCGCAGCTGTATAATTTTACAAATATGTTATATCATTTCATAAAACAATAATTAAACATTTTATTTAATATAGTAAAAATGATGTTTTTATTTCAAAATTATTATAATTATATATCCTGGGCCCTGCAAGTCATACAGTTCCTAAAAAACAAAAAACCATAAGTTAACATGTTTTTCGAAAACGGTATAAGAATATGGGTACTAAAAATTAAAAACAATCTTACAATATTTAAAAAAAAGTAACACTATGAATATAAACTGTCAAAATTATAACAACTGTTGTTATCATAATCAATAAAATATAAATTTTAACAAACAAAATAAACTAAAAGCAAAAAAATTATCCACCAATTAAACTTAAACAAAACATCAAATGTATACTTTTCCAGTGCATTCCTAACTCATATGTAAATTAATTGTGTTTTTAATATTAATAATAATTTATTTCTTACCTAAGGAATTAGTTAGATTATTAGTTACAAATCTCAAGAATACAATTATTTGTAAGTATAAAGTATACAATAACAGTATATAAAATAATACTTTGTTCGTTTTAAGGAATGACTTCTTGGTATTGTTTTATAGTTTCACGGTATTTTTCCTCACCTTAAATCGTGTAAAAAATGTTTGAAAAAGTAAAATAGTTGTCCATAATACTGAATTAGGAAAAATAAGAAAAATCTGTTTTTATCAAATAGTATATTTTACTTAAAAAAAATTGTGTGATTATTTGCCAGTCGGTATTAAATAAAACCTATAGTTTACATCTGGGTCATCTAGTTAGGCTTCTAGATCAACCTATTGTTTCTGTAATGTGTACTGTATACTTATTGGTTTTAGAATGATGTGCAGTTGTATTTTTTAGCCTATACTCATTGTATTATTTTTAAAGAATTTACTATTTCAAATTGTAATCTGATTATATACAAAGCATAATATGAAAGAAATTAAAAACTAATACATATTTTAGGTTATGTGTTATTTTATACGATTATTATTAAAATATTATTTTCTTTCCTTAAGATATATCAGGTTTGATAGGACCCAAGGCTTATTGTTAGAACAACAAGTTTTTCAAAAGCGTACCAAGTAATAAAAGCTATGAATAGTTTCAACAAAAAATAGTTTCATAGCAACATGTGTACACGTGTAAGTCGAAACAGCGGCTGCCTACATACAAAATGGTGTTTTGTTTTCAATTGAAATACTTATTACAACATGTATACTATATAGTGTGTTTTAAGCAACACGAAATACTTCAAACAAATGACCATTATTTTAAACAATGGTAACAAACTAGCTAACAAAAGTACCAACTAGTTAAAATATCTCTTTCTTTATTTAGATTTTTTTGCCAAAGTTGTCCATTTTGACCGTAGTCAATTTCTAGGTTGCTTTGTGTGACACAATCCAACAGTCAGCCGATAATTGAAAATATTTTCATTTTATAGTTAATTATGATGGCAATAATTTGCTATAGACGGACGATCAACGGTAATCTTGTTCACCCTAATGATAAAAATCCATTTTCAACGACATTATTGTTATTAGGAGAATGTTTTTAATCGACACTTGTATTTCTACCATTTCCTTTTTTATCAAAACGGTCATTTAGAAATTTGTATCACTTTCAGTTGTAGTAATTCTTATAAATCCGCGACCCTTAAATATTTCTATGCACCGTACCTCGATCCCCACTGTACTGGCATTTTTTATGTTTGAGATTTGCACTACTTTGTTATGACATTGCCTTCAAATATAATTTTCTATAAATCACAGATTGACAACATACTTTTTTATAATATGTGTACACAGATATTTCAATTTATATATTTTTTATTGTCGTTTTAATTATTCAAAAAATAACAATACTTGTATGTACAAGTTGGGTGACTATACAAATTATAGAAGGCTTTTTTCATCTTTGAATAAATGTACTTAATTGCATAATAATAATATAGTGTATAAAAATTATTTTTGTTATACCACATATTGCCACATAGAACCACCATATTGCGGTTTAATTTTACATAAGTAAATAAGCAGTACTTTTTGTTGATTACACCTGTTTTTACAACTGTAAAACCAATCGTTAAGTATAAATTATGTAAATAAAATTAAACGAAAAACGATTACCTACCAAATTGTTCAAATCTGTACTCGTATTGTTTTAATCAATCGCATCGTAGTTACCTCGAGTCGAATCGCATTTCAGTGTTCATCCGGCTTCTGTATCAAAGATTTTCTTCTGGTTCAACAAGGGGTTTGAAAAAAAAAACAACCATTATGCATTTAAAATGTGCTGTTATTCTCTGCACATTATACTTCATGACCGCGACACAGGTAAAAGTACATAATACTAAAAATGTCTATAGTTAATACTATTTAATATTATGATTGTACTTATAATACTTTATAGAGCATGGGACTCAATGAAGATCAAGTCAAAAACATTGTAAACACATTCAAAAGACACAATAACCGCATAGACTTAATTACCTCAGCACTATGCAGGGAATATAATTTAGATTTTGAACACAAAAGAGGTAATGAAGTACCTTTTGAACAGGTTTTAAACGTGTCGGTTGTAATCAAGTGTTACCCCTATCCTCTCCCCTTAAACATAAAAACTGTAAAACAATATCCTCCAGTATTTAACAATTTTTCAATTTTACACTCTCGTCTTGGCTGGCTCGATTGAAAATTGCTTATAACGTTTTTCTTTTTAACTATAGATAGGAATGGAGCTGAAAAAGTACAAGACCTTTTGGTATTTCTGGCCAGTAACGATAAGATTAAAGACAACCCGAAGGTAAAAACGATAAAAAAAATAATTGAACAATTTCAAATTAATCGGATTTTCTTATTTCCATACATGTTTTTTTACATAGCTACAAAGTTTATCGACATACGAAGTAAAACTTTACTTGGGCTTGCTTAAAAAATACGATCACAGCGGACTACTTAACTACAACGAAGTAAAAAACGTCATTGGCGCTTTAAATCTAGAACAAGACGTCGAAAAAAAATTAGTTGAAGAAATAGATAACATTTTTATTATTTTGATACAAGATTCAATTGCAGTCTCGGTTCTACATATATTGAGTACCGTATTAAATTGAGTTAAGGAAACTTTTAATTATTTTTCTTAGGTTGATAATTTAAATTAATTTTAACAGGTGAAACAACTAATGCCCCGAAATTCTTAGAGGTCTTTTTGAAAGTAAAACCAAAAGTAAGAATATGATTTCGTTAAAGGCTCGAAAAAATACACAAAACTATGATTTTGCCTGACGTGGTGTTTGAACATGTCTAAGAAAAATATTTTTTATAATTTTAGCGCATTGTAGCGTTAAAAAAAAATAATTCTATTAGTAAACCTAATATCTACATGATTTAAATACTTGTACATAGGGCAAAGGTCTGAACAAAAAACGAATTCTGGAACTCATCAATTTATATAAGAGTCACAAAATAGCTGGCGATTACATTGACCCTGTTGAAATAAAAAGTTTTTCCAAAACTTATCAATAGTTAAACAAGAACACGAAGGCCTTTTGGTTTTTGATTCCATACGTAAGAATACATTTTTGATATTATCATTTACTTATTCTTATTTTAAATGAACAAATCTATCAACACTAGTTTTTTGATTCGAATTATTCGTTATCAATATTATTTTCAATATGTGATTTATCAATTTTGAAATCAATTAAGATAATTTGTCATCTATGAATAACAAACAAATTACATTTTTATTTATAGAGTTTTAATGTTACTGTTTTCATTTGTGATTTTTCACTCATTATTAACGAAATGATTGCAATTTAATCAAAATATTTTCTATTTTTTATTTTTGTTAAAAAAAATGTTTCCCGACTGATTCTATGACTATTTTTTAATTAAAGAAAAATGTAACTCTAATTTGATTTTAGGAACGGCTCCTTTTCAACTGAAAGAGCTGTTGCTTGTTTCAGCAGAATACAACAAAGAGGCCAACCAAGAAGTATTATTGTTTTTTTTTTTTAACTATTTTCTTTAATATGCCATTTTGAAAACGCACTCACCCATTTATTAAAGAAGTAAATTATAGGAAATTTTTCCATTAAGTTCAAATTTTGAGCTTAAATGATGTACACTCAATAATCGATCAATGAGGATTATTTATTGCTTTTAGTTTTTTGTTGTTAAACTGCCTCAGTTATTTCTATAGAAAATCATCACATATGTTATCAATTGTATTGTTTTCCTCGAATGAAAGCTAGTGTCGATGAATTCAACTAATTATTAATAATTTATTTAAAAAATATCAAAAAAACCTAAACAATAAAGATGTATACATATACTAATATTAAATCTACCGAAAAATTGCCACAGATAATATGCTATTTTTCTATGGAAATTCGGTAAACTCAATACATCATAGCACTTGCCCCATAGGGTATATTTCATTCGCACAAACCATGTTATCACACTTCAAAATATGATCAATGGGTACCATTCTCTTGTGCAATACATAATCGAAAAATGTTCTTTTTTAATTTTTCAGAATGGACCCGTTTATTCAACCGATTCAGTTAGAGATGTTTTATGGAATTTCTCTAAATATGACGTCAACAAAAACGGTTTAATCGATAAGGAAGAACTAAAAGGAATTGAAGAACGTCACTACCAGGACGAAGACGTTGACTCTATCTTTGAAGACTTCGATATCGATAGTAATGTTGCAAATTATAGCGTTAACAAAATGTGGTTAACTTTATTAAATTACTACCATACGTAGTGGGGAATGAGCATAGAGTAGGTTCAGACCGTTTTTACATGTAAAGATATTTTAACAGTTGGTATTACTAAAATAAATCCCGAGAAACCGCCGTGGTTAATATCTACATAAGCAAAGGTTATTGAATCGATGATTTTATCACGATATACAAAAATATCATACTAACGATTTTTAAAAGAAAAAAAGGCGTATCTTC